TAAGTCGAAGCCTCTCCAGTCCTTCCCTTCCTAGACCTTCAGAAGGATCCAATGGAAGATCCAGAGGACCGGGATGGTTTTCTGTTGTTTCTCCCCTTCTATGTATCCTCATGACCTAGCACACAGCAGGTTCTTAATCAACGCTTACAGGATAGGACGGAACACCTCAGCAATAGAACAAGACACCAGCCGGGGCATTGCTTGAGATACTAAAAACTCTAGACCTTCTCAAAGGAAGTCCAATTGACTCCGATATCCTGTCTCCGAATCGGTTTTATCCTTCAAGGCTCAGCTCAGACACCACCTTCTTCATGAGACCTTTCCTGATCCCCCAGCAATTACTAGCTACTTCCCAAAATCACTCTGTATCACTCCTATATAGAACTATCTAGGTACAGGATGTCTCCTCAACAAGACCAAAAAGTCAGCTGCTTGAGGACAGGGGCTGTTTTCACTCGCCTCTGGATCTTTAGCACGTAGCTCAGCACCTGGTGCTTAATAAGTGTTTGAGGACACCCTAAGCAACCAAAGCGGCCCACGACACCAAAATGGTGAAGAGTACCTGGCCTTCCCTGGTGTTCTCCAAATACCCAGTAACTAGTTGGCTCCAATTATTTACTGATCTGAGGGAATTTAAAAAAAAAACTTTTCTACCAAAGGTCACTTTATTTCTTAAAAATATGTGAAGTTGGGGCAGCTAGGTGGCACAGTGGATAGAGCACTGACCCTGAAATCAGGAGGACCCGAGTTCAAATCTAGCCTGACACATGACACTCACTAGCTGTGTGACTCTGGGCAAGTCACTTAACCCCAATTGCCTCACCAAAAAAAAAAAAAAAAACAATTCATATATATGTATATAAAGTTGCACTTTTTTTTAAAAAGGTTCATACTTGTGATTTCATCCAGGTGGGGAGCTCCCACTGTGGAAATTGCCCATCAGTTCAGACTGGCAACTTCTCTAATTTATAAAGCAGTGCCCAGAACACCAAAACGTTAAGGGAGTTGCCAAGTTCACACAGCAGGTCTATCAGAGGCAGAGCTTGAATTTAGATCTTTACAAGATCACTAAGGTGACCCTCACTGGCCACAGTTTGAGGCCTCCCAAACTTGCACATAACAGATGTTTAATAATGTCTAGTTCGATTAGATTAGATCAGATCAACTTTAAAAAGTGGCTCCTCCATCTCCCAGCATCTAGATTCCCTTTCCCCTTTCTGATCCGCTCTCCCACCTGTCCCTTCTTTTCCCAGCCCAAACCTTAGCTAAGAGCTCAGTTAGGGGAGTGGACCAATCCACAGCAAGCTCGGAGGTTAAAAAACGTTGGCCTGGCCTCTGCAAGGAAGAGAGTCTTGTACAGTGGAAAAATAGCACTGGATGGAGAACCAAAGGACTGAGTTCAAATCCTGACTCAGTACTTACCAGCTGTATAACCTTGGACAAGTCACTTAACCTCAATTTCCTCATCTAGAAAACTAGCAGGTTGGATTAGATGCCGGCCCAGACCCCTTCCAAATCTAAACTTATGATCCTAGGCGGCACAGTAAATAGAGCACTGGACCAGGAGTCAGGAAGACCCAAGTTCAAATCCCGCCCCAAAAACTTACTAGTTGTGTGACCTGGGCAAGTCACTTCACCCTGTTTGCCTCAAGTGTCCTCATCTGTAAAATGAGCTAGAAAAGGAAATGGTAAACCACTCCAGTATCTCTGCCAAGAAAACCCCAAATGAAGTCACAAAGAGTCAGATACAACTGAGATGACTGAACAACAACAATGATAGCTGCTAGCATTTATACAGTGTTTTAAGACTTGCAAAGCTCTTGGAATATTTTCTCATTTACGTATTCTTACAATATTGTGAGGAAGGAGCTATTATTCCCATTTTACAGAAGAAGAAACTGAGGCTGAGAAAGGGTAAGCAACTGGCCTAAAGTTAAGTGATCCAGAAATACTCAAAAAGAAATCAGTAAGAAAAAACTTCCCAAAGCCAAGCTAGGTCCCTTTTAGGCACATCTAGGTATTCATGGTTAACACACAGCTTATACCTACACTTCACTTACTGACTACTGGTACTCCAGAAGTCTGGCCTGAGAGTTTGTGGCTATGATGACTTCTTCAGGGGCCCAGTATCAAAGATAAGGGGAGACTCAAGCCTTGTAACTCTGACCTCAGAAAGAACCCAAGCCCTAGAGTGGGGGCAGGATGCTAATAGTGAAACCCATATGTCTACCACCACGTCCGAACCAATGAAGCTTCCAGGAAGCAGGAGCTGTGTTTATGGAATTCTCTCTGAATTCTCTATGGAATTCTATTCAGAATTATGTGTCATTTTTTTTTCTTATTGGCAGTGGGAATGGTCCGGACTTCTGATATCATGGGTGTGGTCATTTTCTGTGTGACAGCTCTCTTCATCAATGCAAATACACAACTCATCTGTAATTTACAGTCTTAAGAGAATTACCTGGAGTACTGAGGTCACATAGCTAGTATATCAGAGCCTGGATTTGAATTCAGGCCTCTTTTCCCCCAAGGTTTGCCCTCTACCCACGATGCCTTGCTGTCTCTCAACATGCAAAGCTGGAAGGGACAGAGAGGGGAAGTGAGCTGCTTTAACTCAATGCTAGTTGACAGCAGAGCTGAGCCTAGAACCCAGAGTTCCCTGCTGCTCACTCCCACGTGCCTTCCACTCCACCTACCCCCTGCTTCTCTAGAGCATTAGTAAGTCTCCAACCTTCCTATGCTCCAGGGCAGCTCTTCCCTGTCCCAAGTCAACAAAGAAGGGCAAGAAGGGATGACCAAGGGGAGAGGGTGGGATTGAGACTGACCTTGGACAAGTAATTTTCCCTCCCTGAGTCCTCATTAAAATGAGGGGGCTAGAAAAATAACCTCTGAGGTGCCTTCTGGCTCTACACCTGGGATCATCTAGGATTTCCACGTTGGTCCTCAATGCTAAGCCCAGGGCTTTTCTCACATATCTCACATCTCTCTCTCTCTCTCTCTCTCTCTCTCTCTCTCACACACACACACACACACACACACACACACACACACACACATACACACAACGAGCATGCTATCTCTCAAATTTGTTATTCAGTCAATTCAATAATGTCAGACTCTTTGTGACCCCATTTGGGGTTTTCTTGGCAGATATTGGAGTGGATGCCATTTCCTTCTCCAGCTCATTTTACAGATATGGAAACTGAGGCAAACAGGGGTAAGTGACTTGCCCAGGGTCACACTGCTAGTGTCTGAGACCAGAGTTGAACTCATGAAGATGAGCCCTCCTGGGTCCAGACCTGACCCTCTGTCTATTGCCACACCTGGCTGCCCCTAGCCTCAGTGAACTCTCATACCCAGCCTCCTCACCCGTCTCATAGAATCCTATGCCTCAGTCAAGGCTGGGCTCCCCACTGCCTTCTCCAAGCCTATCCTGATCCTGCCTGCTGCTAATGCTCTCCCCCTCCCTAACTTTATTCCATGTATTTTGTATTCATTTTATATGGAACCTATATTGAAGCAGTATGGTGTCATGGATAGAGCACCAGTCTTGGCACCAGGAAGACCTGAATTCAAGCCCTGGATTTCACTTATGTGGTGCCTATGTGATCCTGGGCAAGTCACTTACCCCCTCAGTGCTCTCAGAAACTCTCTAAGAGTATAGGTGGCAACCTGCTTTGGTAGAGAAGCCTCCTCATCTAGAAGTTCCCTGGTGAAATCACAGTTCCAGTACCTATCCCCAATTTTTTAAATATACTCATATGGATAGATATTCTTGACCCCAATTAAATGTAAGCTCCTTGAGGGCAGGAACTGCTTCATTCTGCCTGTGTCTCTCTATCACTTAGCACCCTGCTTGGCACATAGGCACTTAATAAACACTTGTGGCATTGTTAATTAGCAATTTATTTCGGGAAACAATTGGATGGACGGAATCTTTCTTGCTTCTTCTCCCAGGAGGTGTTAAAACAACTGAATAGACCCCTCAGATGCCTTAGAATGTGTCCAGTCCTAACTAAAGGGAAGTAACAGACATTCCATGCCTACTTTACTATCTGATAATTTGCTAAAGACTGGTATCGGCCCCTGGGAACAGGTGGGGTCTACTGAACCCCACAAAGTCCCACAACAAAGCCTGGCCCCTTTCTTTGCCCTCCTATGCTCCTCGGGCCAACCTAGAGGAAGTCTGGCACTTTGATTTCATTTGCATCTCTACAATAAACTCAGTTCAAAGGGCAATGAAGGACTTGGCCAAGGCTTGGGAGGAGAAAGAAAAATAAATCTTGGATAACAGAAACTCAAGTGATGAGGGTGAGGAGCAGAGAGCTCAGGCAGCCAGCCAGACCTGCCTTTTCTTTTTTTAAGTTGAAGGAGGCGTCAACCGCTTCATGGGAGAGGCTGGAGGGAAAGAAGAGTGCCTGGGAGAGAAAGGAGGCAAAAGCACCCAAGGGAGAAAACAGACAGGAGTGACCTGAATGACCTCTTTGTTCTGTCTCCCCAGGAAGACCTAGCCCCACCGCCCTCGCCACTCTGCCAGCCAGAACTAGCTTAGGTGACCGTGCACGGAACAGAGCACAACACACACACACACACACACACACACACACACACACACACACACACACGCACACACACGTACACGCCTGTCAGGGTTAACGCTGAGCGCACGGAGACCCAGCAGTGGAGGGATAGAGATGGAAGCTAGAACCCTTCACCCATTCAAGGGGGTGCGGGTCAGGGGCGGTCAGCGAAGCAACAGCCTCCCTGGAATGAATCAGCCCGCACATGACACACGGGTGGGGAGGGGAGCTCGCAGCACCAGGGGAGGGGGGATCGGAAGAAGGGGGGGAGGGAAGGACAACCCTCCCACCCCTCCAGCGCGTACACGGCCTCCCCGGCAGTAGTGCCCGACCCTCCCCCCACCACCCAAGAAAAGGGGGCTGCCCTCGCCCTCCCCCTCCCCCTCCCCCGGAGGGAGCCCGTGGGGAAGCGGCACTCACAGCCTTCAGCTGCTCCAGCCGGTCCTTCATCTTGGCCAGAGGAGCCTCCGGGGGGGCGGGGGGGGCCCTCCCCGGCGCCGGCAGGCAGTAGAGCGCGACCCAGGTGAGCACCGCCCAGGTGAGCTCAGCCAGGTGAGCACCGCCCAGGTGAGCGGCAGGAAGTGGCCGCTCGAGGTCGGCCGCAGGTGAAGGTAGAGGAGCGGGATGGAGGCCGCGCTCGCAGGAGCGTCCACGTCCTGCTGGGGACCTCGCCCGCTCCGGCCCGAGAGCGCCGTCTAAATCCGCCCCCGAGCCTGATCCCCGGGCGGGCGGGCGGGCGGGCGGCGCAGAGCAGCGGCCGGACTAAGCCGCCGGTACGCTGTAGGAAGAGGGGCGGCCGGCCGGGCCCCGCCTCTTCTACCTGGGCACCGCCCACTGCGCGGCGGCCTTAAAGGGCCAGCCGCAGCCCGCATTCCCTGAGCCTTCTGCTCTCGTCTCCCCTCCCCCATCTCCCACCTGCTCCCCTTCCCTGTCTGCTTTTCCTCCTCCTTCTCTCCTCCTCTTCTTTTCTCATTCCCATAGCCTCAACATCTTCCTCCTCCCCAGCCCCTCCCCTCCCCCCTCCTCGACTCTCACCTCCTCCCCCTCCTCCCGCTCCTCCTCCCCCTCCTCCCCTGCCTCCTTTTCGTCTTCTCCCCCTACTACCACCGCCTCTAGGAAGGATAACCCTGCCTTTGGCCTCCTACCAAGCAGACAAAGAAAAAACATCCAGGAGCTAGAACGAGAAAGTCTCCTGGGTGAGGAAGAAGAAATGTGAAAGGTCATCAGAGCGTGGGAGAAGGCAGAGATCGTAAACGTTGATCAGAAAAATCCTTGAGGCCTTTTTTTTACATCTGGGGACACTGAGGCCCATTGAGGGGAAGTGACTTGCCGCGCCAGAATTCCAACTTGGGTCCTCCATGCTGGCAACTCTAACCCTAACCCCGATTCTGTTTCTGTCATTCAACCGGACAAACATTTAAGCTCCTGCTAGGTGTCTAGGCACTGTGCTGGTACAAGGACAAAAAAAAAGCAACCGGCCCCTGCCCTCAGGAAGCTTACATGGGGTGGGGGTGGATAGGTACACGTATAAGTAAATGCCAAATATACGCAAAGTAATGTGGAGGAGGGGAGGGCCCGTCGAGGCCACGTGTGGCCCTCTAGGTCCTCAAGTGCCAAAGTCACCGGGGGGCTGGGGGTTCCCTACCCCTGCCTCATGAATGAAATGCTTCTTGAGCTGAGCTTTGAAGCAAACGTGGATTTTGAGAGGCAAAAACAAAAACAAAAAATGGGGGAAGGGGACCATTCCAGGAATGGGGGACAGCCTATCAGAGACGATGTAGTCTGTCCAGTTTGGCTTGACTATAGAGTGGGTGAAAGGAAGTAATGTATAATAAGACTGGAAAGTTCTGCTGGAGTTAGATGGGCTGGACATGCCAGGTTGTGGAGAACAAACTGAAGAGGATATTAGAAACTTGGAGAAAAGGTAGGAAGAGGGAAGGGAAGAAAGGGCAGCTTTAGAGGATGGGGAAAAGCAGAACTTCATGGGGTTCAAGTAAGTCAGAAAAGGATGGTTGAGGACTGGCGGAGAGAGGAGGGCGGCCTCCAGGAAGTGGAGGCGCTAACTGAACTGGAGAACGGCAAATATGTCAAACTCACCGGCTAAACTGGCCCTGACTTCTCTTCCTGGTAGAAGGTCAACATCAGTGGGCACCTGTTGGAATGAGAGGATGAGTCATAGAATTGAGATGCTTTGAAGTGTAAAGAAACTTTAAAGATCCTCTCTACTCAACCGACTCTCTTCTTTCACACTTGCCCAAAGCCAAGGTCCAGGGAGATAAAAATGGCCTGCCAAGGATCACACTAGTGAGTTGGTGGCAGAATCGAATTCTCAAGGGCCTCCTGGCTCCCAGTCCCAAACTCTTCCTGCTCTGCTACCAGCCCTCAAAGCATAGGATTAAAAGGCCTTGGTAAACTCTCTACATTCATTAAAGTGCAAGCTATCGTTATGGTTATTCTCTGCTGCCTTCCCCCCCAGGCTTGTTCTCGAATCTGGATACTGTCTTCGTCCTAATCCTGGCCTTGTTACCAAATTCCCTACAGCAGAAAGATTGGAAAGGTCTCTGAGGAACACACCTCTCTACTTCCCTTCGGCTGCGATGAGTTATAGCAAAAAAAAAGAGCGCTGGTTCTGCCGCCTGAACAGACCTGGGTTCCAATTGTAGCTCAGCTACATCATTGTGATCTCAGACAAATCACTTCTCTGGACCTCAGTTTACTCATCTGTAAAATGAATAAGTTAGATCAGATGATGTCTAAGGACTCTTTGAACTTGGAATCTTTGATCCTTATGATCTGCAATGTATTTTTAGACTTTATTCCTCTTCACCCTAGAAGTTTCGCTTCATCCCTAGATTCTCACTTGGGAAGTACACTCTGCCCTCTGGCTTCTCCCTCTGACTGGCTGGTTCCTCCCCAAACCCCCATTTTAAGGAGGATGCTCAGGCCTGCCGTGTCTTCATTCCTTGCCCTACCATGCTCCTTATTCTCCAGAATTCTCCAGAATTTTCTATCATGCCAGCCCCATCCCCTAATGTTTCAGCTTCCCTTCCTGTGTTATTTTAAATATTAGGTCCTTGAGGGCAGACAGTGTCTTTCTATCCATATTTGGATTCCCAGTCCTTAGCACCTTGTGTGTGTGTGTGTGTGTGCCACATAGTAAACAATAAATGCTTGCTTGATTTGATTTAATTCCATTGTCCAAGGCTGCCTTGCTCACCCGAGGCTTGGGGCCAACCAAATAGCTCTGCTGTCATCACTCATTAAAGGGGAAGTATTTTCATGCACATTCTACCAGATACTGCCTGTTCTCTAATCTATCTGACAATTTATGAAATAGGTAGCATAGTGGAGTAATCATCATAACTGACATTGAAATAATACTTTCAGTTTTTCAAAGAACTTTACGTAATTTGTGGCATGGTAGAAAAAGAGCTGGACTCAGAGTCTGGAGGACCTGGGTTTGAATCTTTCCTCAGACACTTCCTGGCTGTGTGACCTTGGGCTCCCTGAGCCTATTTTCTCACCTATCAAATGGGGCTACTCCTAGCACAAATCAAGGGAGATAATATATGCAAAGTACTTAATAAATCTGAAAGTGTTATGGATGTAAATGCTACAATTTATTATCTCATTGGAGATGGTAGAAAACTGGGGGAAAAAAAGCCTAAGGCTCAGAGTCAAGTGATCTGAGATCCTGGCTCAATCCTACAAGTCATGTGACTTTAGACAAACAAATCCTGGCCTGGTTGTTGATACCAAGGTTAGAGAGCTGGGCCTGGAGTCAGGGGAAAACTTGAATTCAAATCATCCTCACATACTTACTAGCTATGGGACCCTGGGCAAGTCACTTAACCTCTGCCTTGATCTCCTCAACTGTAAAATGGGAATAATAATAGCCCCTATCTTGAAGGGTTGTTGGGAAGACCAAATGAGAAAATATTTGTAAAATATTTGTGCTTAGTACCATGCCTAGTACATGTAACAGCTTCTTCCCTCCCGTTTTTGGGCCCCAGTTTCCCACCTCTTTAAAATGGTGGGTTCAGGCTAGATTAACATTAAATTCCCTCCCGGGTCATTCTTTGGTTCTGTTGCTGTCTGTCTTTCATTGTCTAAGAGGACCAAGACATCAGGAAGGTGATGCCATGTCATGCAGGTGAATTGGATTTAAGTGAGGGAGGGCTGTGCAAAGTCACCAGCTTCACTTTCACCTCCGGAGCCATCTGGGTCCAGTGGCAAGATATAGATCAGGATGACTGGAGATGGCCCCAGATGCAGTGGGAGACCTTGGCCTTTTTAAGCGAAGGTCTTTAACGGGTCTCAGTTTGACTATGATTCAGGCTTTCCAGCTGACCATCTGATACAGGGAAAAGAACATTGGCCTTTAAATCAGAGGATTTGGGTTCAAATCTTACCTCTAAAACGTTGGTACCTGTGTGACCTTGGGCAAGTCATTTAACTGCCCTGGGCTTCAGTGAACCTAACTGTAAAATAAGGGATGGAGGGAGTTAGACCAGTGGCTTCTGAAGTCCCTTCCAGCTCAAAATCTATTGTTCTAGAGTCTCCTGTAATTACAATAGAGCCCATCTGGCCTTTCCTGGGGTAGGCAGGAAGGCAGTGTCCAGGGAGGGTTACCCATAACTAGTTCACTAGGATATACTTTAGAGCAAGGCAACACACAGACAAATAGCGAACCCAACACAGGATATTGCAAATTATATAGGTTGTCATTGAATTTAATAGAACATATGTTTATATCCCCAAGGAAACACCTGAATACAAAAGACAGATGAGTCACGAGGGTACTACAATCAAGCTACACCTACTCGAACCTTAGAGAGATGATTAAACCTAGTTTAACTGAAAGCATTGAGAAGACGAGATTTGAACACACAAAAAGATAACCAACTCTCCGAGACACCATGAGCACCAAATGAGCCCGTAGCAGGTGCCATAGCACAGTGCCAAGGAAGGAGAGTCATCTTACTTTGGGCTGGAGGTGATGGGACCAGTTTTCATGGAGGAGGTAGGATCGAGGTAGGATCTTTCAGAATGAATGGAATGTGCACTAACTGGAAGAATAGTCCAGACCTGGGGAATAGGGGAAGGTAGTGGGACTACTTGGTTTGGTTTGGATAAGAGGGGCTCTCAACTTTGAGATGTTAGGACTCTGTAATTTGAATGTTATGGAATATCACTGTCCCATAATGAAATATTAATAATTGAAAAAAATAAGGGACAACCCAGATGAAGGGACACAGAGTGGACAAATCACATTCAAAAGAATAATGTGTACAATCTCCAAACTCTATAAATGACAGCTACTTCAAAACTCAGATCAGCAACTCTGGACATTATCGTTGTTCTTTAGTTGTTTTTACAGCCATTTCTAGCTCTTCGTGACCCCATTTGGGGTTTTCTTGGCAGAGATACTTGAGTGGTTTGCCATTTCCTTCTCTAGCTCATTTTACAGATGAGG